GCCTCGCCTCAGCAGCGCAACCTTATTCCGTCAATAGATGCATTATATACAGTAGCTATATCCACTATTCGCCACTTACTCTAAATGTAATAAAATCAGAAAAATATTGCGTTTTGGTGTTTACATAGTTATTTTTGGTTACTGATGTTTTAATCATGTTGTTTGGCGTTAATGAAGCCTTAATGTCGAGTCCTGGAGTTTATATGTGCCGGACGGCCCGAGCCAAATTTAAACCTTGTATATATATATACAGTGGGTACGGAAAGTATTCAGACCCCCTTAAATTTTTCACTCTTTGTTATATTGCAGCCATTTGCTAAAATCATTTAAGTTAATTTTTTTTTCCTCATTAATGTACATACAGTATCTTACTGTACATATTACAGTATAATACTGTTCAAATTACAAAAATCAGTTACAGTGTGGCTCCAAACTTTCGAACGATAGTGTAGAAGTTACGTGTTAAGTATATCCTGAAAAGCATATACATGATTCGTCTTGTTTAAAAAATGCTAAACATATTGCAGATTCTGCAAGGGATATGTAAATTCATGAATCAGAACTGCAAGTCACATTACAGAGGTAATATGGGTATCAAATTCCATTTTATGGTAACTTCAAGCCTTCTTTTAAGTCAAGTCAAGTCACCTTTATTTATATAGCGCTTTTAACTGCAAACTGTACAGCATTAATTAGGAAAATATTGTGTCAAAAATGCAAAATGATAATAGTAAACACACAGTTTTCAGTTAAAGGCAGTTCATCATTGAATTCAGTGATGTCATCATCCAGCTCAGTTCAGTTTAAATAGTGTCTGTGAGTCGACGATATCGCTGGAAATTAAGTGTCCCCAACTAAGCAAGCCAGAGGCGAGGCGACAGCGGCAAGGAAACAAAACTCCATCTTCTCCAGTTCTCCTCCTTTTATAACTCTGCATGGCCATGAACACCCATATTCAAGTGTGTGAGGTGTGTGTGTACAAGTGTGACACTGGTATACACTGGTGCACCGCTGCTTCTCTCTCTCAGCCTTGAGTCAGCCTTCTTTGTACTTCTGCCGAATGAGTCCCACAGCACTAAAATTTCTCTTCCTCTCCCTCCCCACCCAACCCCATCTTCTTTCTTTCTTCCTTCCATCCACCCCTTCTCTTTCCTTTTCCCTCACTTCTGGATCTAGGCCACAGAATGGGTCGATGATCCTCTACAATAGGAAGAAGGTGAAGTACAGAAAGGACGGCTACTGCTGGAAAAAAAGGAAAGATGGGAAGACCACGCGGGAGGATCACATGAAGCTCAAAGTACAAGGAGTGGAGGTGAGGCCGTTTGTCCGTGCACCGTAGCGCACACAAACCCATCAACTTGCTTTGAGATTGTTGGGGTGCAAATAATGGGCACACTTAAGAAAAGAAGCCCGCAGTTTAGTAGTTGTTGCACACACTCGGCAAGTCCCCAAGTCGGCTCCAACTTTTTCTAGTCCACATTTGAGAATGAAAAAATACACCTCAGCAGCCCGAGTTTAGTTTTCCCTTGATAGCAAACAAAATGGAAGCAATTGTTTGTACCTTATTAAGCTCGGGATGTTTGCTCTGCTCCAGAGTGCCGGCATTAATCTTCCCCCATGCTGGGAACCACTGCCATCACAGGTAGACTGCAGGGCCCTTTTCTGCTTTTCCGCGCCCTGGCACGGCCCCGCTGTGTGTGTGTGTGAGAGCGCGCTTTGATTTATCTCCACTCATACACACATATACACGCTCACCAAACAGCGTGGGTGCTGGATCTAGAGTTTTACTCTTTTGTTTTTTGGTGTTTGAACTGAATATCTATCATTTTGTATGGTGTCCTCTGGATAGTTGAGCATGCTGAGGTCATGTGATGTTGTTTTGCATATGCAAGCCCAAACTCATATTATACAGTCATATAATTGACAAAACACACACACAGAATATTTGATGCACTTGCCAAGACGTGCATTATTCTCTGCTTGCTCTCTCTTCATGGAGCTCTCATTAGACAGTGAACAGACCTCACTTAACAACCGAATCTCTGCCAATCATTTTCTGGCTGTGTGTTTCCTCACAGCAGATGTTTCAGAGGAAGTTTGGAGTTTCTACCGATTATCCATTAAATTCACTAGCTTTACCTCTTAAAGGTATAGTTCCCAAAAATTACTTTTACTCGTGCTGTTCAAACCATTATGATTTAGCATCAAACAAGATGCTTAACAGAATGTTTGCACTTATTTTTCCATACAATATTAGGAACAGATTTTCAAACTGCAAAAATGGCAGAAAGTCATCATAAAAGTCTATACAACTTGTGCTCTATATTTCATATCATTTGGACTAACAGGAAAAGACAAAAATTTAAGTTGTTTTCTAAAGTTGTATATAAAACAAATATTACTGAAGTGTGTTTTACAAGAAAGTGATATTTCAGTCTTTCTACTTCAACATGTTTAATTCAGAGTGTTACTTTGCTTTTTTAATTATTTGCAAAAATTGGAAATGGTTTCAAAGTAAATCCTGCACCAATATTTCAGAGTAATTCATTTATAATCCTGAAGCTTATTCACATATTTGCATATTCACACACATTTACAGGACATGCAACAACCAATGACATTTGGCATTATTTGAGAGAGTTTGGCTAATGACTTAGATTTTGGTATATTCCTCAAACAAAGCTATTTAATCACTATGGACAACTTGAAATATAGCACACAAAGTCAATTTTAACTACTTTTGGTGTGCTTTTGTGGTACTTTTTTTTACAGCCCCTGGCAGATGTTTGTGGCTTGGATGATTTTGCAGATCATCTCTTTTTGTGTTCAACAGAAGAATGAATGTCAGTCAATAAATGATGACAGAATCTTCATTTTTGCGTTAACTGTTCCTTAAAGGACATTTACAGTGATAAAAGTTTCTCAACGCATCAGCCAGTAGAGTCTTGTAAAGTTCAGATATATGTGAGAAATGCTGCAAAGATCTTTAGAGGCCTCTGTCATCTCTGAGGTGTCCTCTGACCCATACACATACTGAATTCTACTAAAAGATCTCGTTTGAGCTGAGGTAACTCAGAGTTGAACTCACTCAGTGAGCTGAAGAAACACTCAACTAAACCCCTCTCTCTCTTCCTTTCTCCCTCTCTCCTTCTTTTATATCTCTCAGCCAGCACCGCCTGCTGTCATCTGGCAGGCTTATCCTCTAACATGCCTCCATATGTTTTTTCCTGTGTAAATGGCTGTGGCTTACAGTGGGCTAATTTCAGAAGTGTGGCAAGAAGGCTTTGGGTACTAAGGTGGACTCAGCAGAAAAGTGCATGTCTGGCAAGCAGAGAAAAAAAGAGTGCACAGTGAGAACACTTCCTAGCGTACAGCAGGCTTAAAGGGATAAGACAGAAGGAGATGTTTAGAGGAAGGTCCAAGTTGTTCTTTTTCCCACAGTAAAATGTAACCACTGCTTTCACTGGATAAAACCAGCTTGACATTCTGATGGATACAGGAACATTTCCTTTGGTGTTTCACACAAGAATTAAAATCTAATGGTTTGAAATGGCAAATGGGTGAGCGAATGACAGAATTTAAATTGTGGGGGTAATGCTGAAATAAGTAATAATAATAATTCCAATCTTTTTTTTTTTCATTTTAGCAATGAAATTTTTTTATTTTGTAATGTTTGCATTTAAAAGAAAAATGCACGTAATATATAGCACAGCCTACATAGACTACCATTCAGAAGTTTGGGGCCAGTACAATTTTTTTTAAAGAAATTAATACTTTCAATAAGCAAGAATTCAATTGATTAAAATTGTTTCAAATAAATATTGTTCTTTTTAATTTTCTATTCATCCTTAAAAGAATAGCAGCACAACTGTTTTCCATATTAGCAATCAGCATATTAGAATGATTTCTGATCATGTGAAAGTGAATACTGGAGTAATGGCTGCTAAATATTCATCTTTGCCATCACAGAAATAAATTAAATTTTAAAATATCTTAAAATAGAAAAGCGGTATTTTAAATTGTTATAGTATTTCACAATATTACTGTTTTTACTGTATATTTAATCACATAAATAGATACTGTATTTATTTTCATAGCCTTCAATTTGCTTCTTATTTGAAGAACAATGGGTAGCAGGTAAAATAATGTGTTTATTTTTTTCAGTAAAATATAAACAATGGGCATTTTTATTGGAATAATTGAAGAAATAATCAATAGATTAATTATCAAAATGATGTTTAGTTACAGCCCTGTTTTTGAGTAAACTGTCATTTTAAGAAATCCCCCTCTGTGTCTATGAAGAGACTACAGTCAAATGACCGCCTCCCCATAGGTGAAGCATAATGAGGCCTCTGATCAGATGGCTCCAGCAGCGAGTGGACTCCGACGGTCCTGTGTTTCTCTCCACCCGCTATGAGCAGCAGTATAATAGGGGAGCGGCCACTCAGTACGTCCTCCCAGCACACCCCAGACCGAGCATGGAGCGATCAATCAGAGCTGTGCTCTTCAGGATAATAACCTTGCCCTATCAGTCTGCCTCAGACCTGTTTACTGCAAACGCAAATAAATGACGTGACCTTCACCTTCAGAGTCGTTTCACTGAGGGCTTTTTCTCCAGGAGGGGTGCGTGAACGAGAGGTGTCATATTGTGTGGTCTATGTGTGTTTGAAACAAGGGCTGGTAAAACTCTGGGCTACTTGACTATTCCTTTAAGTGGCAGCTGTGGTGGCTAACCAGCCTCCTTCACTCTCCCTCTCTCTCTCTTATAGAACAGATGAACTTCACAGTAAAACTCCTTGTTCCCTAAAATTGGAGCAAGACGTGTGTTACAGCATTAGTACTTAACAGGGCGTGAAATAGCAGCCTGGCTTCCTGACGTCTCCCCATCACTTCAGGTGAGAGTGTAGACGGTGAGATAGATGAGCATCCCCCCTTCTTCTTCTTACTCGTTCCCACAATGCAACAGGGCCACCTGAAAAAGGCATGTCCATTACTGGCTATCTAGTTTCTTTCCTGGTTGTAGCTGACGTCTTCCTCCTCTGACCATCAGCTGCAAAGGCCTAATCAGGAAGTCAACCACCCGTGATCCCAGTGCACAGCAGACTCATCTATATTCCTAATAATTCCTGGCTACCTAACCGCTTTCAAGGATAGCTGTTTTGTCTTTCTATTACATGGCTTTTTAGTACCATCAATTCAAGGGGCGAATCTGATGAATAATGTTGCAGGAAAAGTGCTGAAAAGTGAAAAAGTTAAGTGTGACATACACAGGTAGCTGATCTCAACTTTTTCTGTCTGTGCTGTAAATTCTGGCTGACTTGAGGGATCATCAGAGTTCAGTTTGTATTTGTGTGGTGCCTTTTACAATGCATTGTTCCAAAGCATCTTTACAGAAAATTGATAAATTTAGAGAAAAAGAAAACAGTGTCTTGTAAACCCCCAGTGATAAGGAAAACTCCCTAGGATTTGATTTGATTATTTATTTTTGGGGTTTGAAATTTGGGCTTAAAGTCCCTGTAAAGGCAATATTAAATATGTGTTCTGAGTTTGTCACACCACAGAAAAATGTATTATTAACCACAAATTTGAATGATGAAAAAATCCGCCAAGTAAATAAAATAAGTGATCAAAATCTTGAAAAAATGGGCGGTATCCTCTGCTCTCAAA